GGTATAATTTTGTATATGACTGCCTTGCAAGAAAAAGACGATTCTCCCATAGGAAAAACAACACAACCACGGTATGATGAGAATCGTCCCTCCCCCCCAAAAGGATTGACAGTGATTTTCTTTAGAAACCATAGTTATTATTGTCATTATAACTGTCGATTTGTGGGAACTCTCATGGGGCATATCCATTATAAAACGGAAAGAAAAACCTAGTAATAGTGATAACAATCCATTTGTTTATATTCATCCATTTTGTAGAGCCATTAAAAAGGAGATGACATTTCTTCTCTCTCGTGGATTCCACAGCTATAAGCTAAGCTACTATCGACCAAATAAAGGTAACGATAACAATATAGGAATATACATATATTACAGTTAGTTTGTATTTTACCCTGCGACTAATTTTTACATTAGAGCGAAATACCTGTCATATGTCAACTTTATCAGCTACTGATACGTATACTTCCACGATGATTATTATATTATTTTTATGGTAGGACATAGGGCTTTAACAGCATGTCTCTAGTTTATTCTATTCTCTGAGGTCCTATTTAGTTGGTCCCACGATTGACCGTATTCTGTCATCTCCTATATGCCACCGGCGAATAACAGCCCAACTGGTCCTTTCCCATTCGTATTCCACTCGAGTGACGGCCTGCACAGCACATGATATCGTTCGACAGTCTCCTCAGTGGTGCGTGTGTCCATCCCATCTTCATTATCTTCTAAAGATGTCTTGAGCAATAGATTCTTGGTTGGTTCGTTCCACTGCAAAATTTCTTGTCACCAATTCTTCCTGGCCAACCAGCCATTTGATCCTCAGGATGGAGCCAGCCAGTCAGTCAGCCAGCGTAGGTGGCAGCTGTTGATAAAAGTCTACAGGGATGTGTTGTAAATGCTTTTAGTGACATGTGTGCCAAGTTTTTGAGCCATATGGAAGCATTGACTGACTTACTGACTGACTTAACCTTTGTGTTGAGAATCTGGATTGTGTCGTTTATGCTTGCTAAGCGGAGACGATTTCCAGAATGATTTCAGAGTGATGGCGTTGTACCTTGCTTTGCCTTTCCGATGCTAACTTGTTGAGACATCTTCATTCGTTGTGACTGTGTGTAATTGGAAGGATGATTCCTGGTGGGATTTGTGAAGGAAGTGACGTCTTTCAGATTTCTTCCATCGTTGGTGATTGGTGATGGGTTGTTGCTGTTGTTCGGTGGATATCTTCTCTATGCTCGCCGGAGGTTCTGTCTTCCACAATGCTTAAGGTGAACCAACTATGGTAATTCGGTTGATGATGATGGTTGATAACGGTGGAGGCCAGAATGTAGATTTCATCTTATTCGGGAAATGTCAGCTAAATGGAACATCATCCATTCTGATACATAGAAAAAACCTCCCTTGCTTAACTGTTTCTAACCACAATAAACTTTTGTGGGTATTTGATTGACCCAGTGACAGAATTTTAGCATAAGTCGATGTCGATCAGAGAATCATTGAAAAAAATGTCAGTGTCGTCGAGTTTTCAGACATTCTGTAAGAGATGTGAATTCGTGACAAAATCTTCACCATCTTTCACTTTTCAATTAACGGCTATAAGTTGTAATTTGTCTTTTAGTTTGTAGCAAAGTATTTGACAAAGCCTCTGTAATACTGTTGTATAAACAGGGAATCTCAAAGACCCTGACTAAGATTCTTAATGAGGCTGGAATTAAAGTGGTATTTAAACCAGCTAAACTCTCTCACAGATAAACTTTGTCGGCTTACTAACCGAATAGATTCAATTAAGTAAAAATAATAAAAATTTAACAAATACCATGAAATAACTGTGAGGTCAGTTATATCATAGATCGAACTAATAGACGTGGGTCAATTAGATTATTTGAACATAAAAATTTAGCTAGGCATATAAGTAAGTAAGTTGAATAACCTAGAAAAGAGCCTAACCATTGCATTGCATTCATGTAATCACACAGTAGGGTGTGTAGGACAGGGTCAGAGCATTAAAAAGCAATTTTTTGATTACAGCTTGATTCCACACTGTATTTTTGGTACAAGTATGGAATTTTCATCATGGATATCGGTAGCCCAAATTTTTCAGGCCGACCATAGATATGAGGTGTGCGTCGACAGGGGAGCGAACCTCGGACCATGTACATGGTCGGTGAGAGTCCTAACCACCGTGCCACCGGCGCACAGATAGGTGGAGAGAGAGAAGTTAATTACTAAAGCTTTGTTTATGGATTCAACACTGCGCAAGTGAAATAGAAATGACGCAATGACTACGTCGGAGATATGGGCAGGTGTCAACAAAAAACAATGGGAAGATCTCTTTGTGAAACCGTGTAACTAAAGTGATACGATTATGACCAATATGTAGACAGGAAAGAACAGAAGATGACAACCAACTACATACACCAATCAACATCATCGAGGAGCAGTCTAAAGGAAGATGTCACTTTTACTAACACTGACAGCAATGTTTCAAAGACAAAATCACCAAAATAAGACAAATGTTCATCAATTGCTCTGAAATTGGTTTGTAGTTCTACAGCACTCAATACAGTACAAAGACAAAGAGATCTAAATTTTCTGGATTATTGTCAAATTAGCAAGTGCTTCTACTACATATACTTCAGAAAATTGGAGTATGCTTCAAAAAAAAGCATTTCTAACAATCTACTGGTTCCTATCATCAATAATATAACTATTAGCTGACGAGTCTCCCGAACAAGAGGAATTAAACAATGAATATTAGACGTGAGACAAAACAAAAAGCGAATTGAGTGAAACAAAAATGAAAGTGTTGGTTTTTAGGGATTTGATTGGTTACAGGATTTCATCATGAGCTGAAATCAGTTAGAGAACCATTAGAAAACTAACTGGGAGTACTGGACAGCTGTTTCGTCCTGGTTTGGGACTGTTCAGCGGTACGCACCCACCCACTGGGGTTCAAACCCAGGACCTTCTGGTTACAAAGCGAGCTAGTTCGTAGACCATTAAGCCACTGGGACCTGATCCAACGGCCCATGAATTCTAACCTGTGGTTCTAGTGAGAAGTCGCGGCCAGTAGGGTGCAGCAGGTCAGGTGTGAGGACAAATACTCGCCGAAGGCATTAGCTAGTGGTCACACTATGTCGTGAATTGGCAGGAGTTAGAATTCATGGGCCATTGGATCCGGTCCCAGTGGCTTAATGGTCTACGAGCTAGCTCGCCTTGTAACCAGAAGGTCCTGGGTTCGAATCCCGGTGGGTGTGTACTGATGAAGAGCCCTAAACCAGGACGAAACAGCTGTCCAGTACTCCCAGGTTCTCTAACTAATGTCAGCTCATGATGAAATCCTGTAACTAAAATGAAAATATTGGCGTATCTGTCTGTCTATCTGACTATCTACCTGTCTAGGTGTTTTTCCGTCTGTCTGTCTATCTACCGACTTATTATTCGCATGACATATGCGTCTACTACGTGTGAACATACCGCCAACAGCCAACACAAACATACACACACAAACTGAATGATAGAAAGACAGACATCTACGCATTGGTCCACCCACGCACACACAGGTATAAACAGAGATACACACCATATATAGACACACATCAAAATGCGCTTATAATTCATTTCAATCGTAGGTAGAAAATTTAAAAAATTGCAGGTGCTAATGCAAAATGAGAAAGCAATTAAAATCGAAAGGAAAATAAATAAATAAATAATAATTATTTTTCTATCGAATACATCAGATAAGACGAGGAAATAAATTGTATATTTATGGAGAGTAATCCACTTCAGAATAAAAACACAACTATTATTCTATTCTAACCACAAAACAATGATAAATAAATAAAATAAAGTAAAATATATAAGTAAATAACGTTTTATCTAAATATGCGGCGGCAACATGAATGTTCGTATCTTGTTAGCCAACCCCCTATTTTTGCTTGTTTTCACAGTTTATTCAAACCCGCATAGGGAGGAAGGAAAATGGGGAATAAAGGAGATAAAAAGGAGGTGCGGGGGAGGGCGAGCGAGGGATTAATTGATCTGACGAGAAAAACACGCACACACACACACAGAACAATACTCTTCCTTTGCGTGTTTCTTCTCTAGAGAGTGAATTGATTTTGATAATTGTAAAATTAGACAATAATATAGATAAGTAAATAACTAACTGATGATATATGGATACAGATGAAATCTAAGCGCAGACATACACACACACACACACGAATGGCGAGAAGTAATAAGAGATAAACATATGTTGATTGACGAAGAAAATATTGGAAATAGAGAAGGATAAAGAGGCTTGGAGGTGGGGTGGTAAATTAAGAAAAACCACTTAAAAAGTAGTATTTTTATTTCTATAATGACTATGTCTGTAGGCAGAGATATACACGCGATTGTCGTGTTCCTAATAAATTCATTCTTTGAAGTTTCGGCAGCGCATCTCGAGGTTGATAGCCGCCGCCACACATCCAGCCCAAACTTCTTTCATTATCGGATTGATGACCCGCAAGGTTTCAGGGTGCGTCACATCTGAGACTCGAGACTGAGGATTACATCAGCTGGGTTCCAGGCGTTCGAGAGCTTTCTCAGTTGGATGGATGCACATGCATAGAGCCATTGAATGGTGGTCTTTACACTGACTCATCGTTTCAAACACCCAGATACTAACTAACCACTGTGTTATTGAGTCACGACGGCAACACAGTAGGCAATAGGTTTAATTTGAAAAAAAAATGAAACGCGCCTTTGTGATTCCGCTGTCATCTACTACAAACTTAAGTAACTTCCAATTAATACCCATAGTAAAAGTAGAGCCATCTGTCCAAGAAGTCCATGAGTCAATATGAAGTCAATCAATGCAGTGCACAAAATATCAACGGGTTATTATCAGTATGGAGCAATAATTGAACATATATACACATAAAGTAATAAACAATAAGCTGACTAGGCATACAGTATATACATACATACATACGTGCACATAGATGTATACTACTTACCTTAGGAAGTAAATTAGTAGTATTGTAGTCTTTATTTATTGTTTCATTCAGTGTCATCTGATTTAATAAATGATTGTTTTGCTGAATAGACGCAGTAGCAGGAACTTGATTCATAGAAGTGATGGGATATAATACGTTATTATTATTATGACCAATAGATTTCATTTGCACTGATCGATTTAAACCCATAATTGGACGTGAAGATGAATGGAGTTTTGAACCTGTAGATGATAATAAGGAAGCATCGTCATTTAACATTCCCGGGATTTTTGTTGTTGAATTCATTGGAGAAGATCCATGTGTTGCATTTGTTGTCTGCGAGGATTTTGTACACACGACATCACCTAATTGATTGTCATCTATCATATTATTATTGTTATTATAATTGTTGTCTTGTTCAAGACAATTTAATTGTGTTTTCTGCATATTTGATAGAACTGTTTCATAATTGACTAACTGAAAAAAAGAAATGAGTAAAGAAAACAAAACGAAATAATGGTAATAGTCATAGTGTGTGGCGTGTACTACTGACGAGATTTATTAGTAGTATATAAAGAGACGCACAAAAATATCATGTAACGGAGAGATCGATTCGATGTGAACGAGAGCAAATGAACCAGTGTTGCAGCAAATTACGAAAGACACGAAGAGAACACAAAGAAAGGCAGCACGAAGAGCAGCAGTACTACAACACGGAAGATCTGTGCAAATGACGATTTTCGGTAAAGCTGTACCTAATTCCCCTATATGTTCATGTCAAATTGCTAATAAACATTCCGTTATCAATATTCATGTCTTCTGCCGTTAGAATAGTAACAGTGTATTAGAAATAAACAGATTGCTGTTACTATTATTATGCATTCACCAGTACATCTCCTTTACTGTCTTATTTGTGGGTGGCACAGTGGTTAGGACTCTCGCCGACCATGCACATGGTCCGGGGTTCGAGCCCACACCGGCGCACACCTGATATCTACGGTCGGCCTGAAAAATTTGGGCTACCGATATCCATGATGAAAATTCCATACTTTTACCAAAAATACAGTGTGGAATCAAGCTGTAAATCAAAAAACATAAAAAATAAAAAAATATTTTAACCACTGCGACGATTGAAAACAAGCTTTTATTCCGCCTCCCCATCCCACCCCTGATCCTAGATGATCTTTTCCATTTGACTCTTGGACAGCCTACTTATCATCACATTGTTACTCAATTTATTAGTTATTTATTCACGTAGTCTTCTGCTTTAACCTGTGAACTGCTGAGCAGTACACCCGCCCGGCTATAGACCCAAGGGCGTGTGTACTGCTCAGAAGTCCCCTTCGTCCTTCTTTATGGCTGTGAGAAGTCGCCAGTGAGAGAGGAAGATATGAAAAGCCTGGCTAGCTGTCTTTGATGATAGGTGCATGCGTTCTATCTCCCGTGTGAAGTGGTATAATAAGGTGAGCAATATTAAGTTTAGGCGTTGGTCGAGTGCTAGGTAAGGAGGGGGAATCAATCGACGAGGCTGTGAAATGACATCGACTGAGATGGTGAGAACATGTGTTACGGATGCCTAGACTAGTCATCGCCTTCCTCGACAATGGGCAATGTTAGCTGACTGGCATAGGGTCAGGCTGGAAAAGAGATAGCCAGTGGTGGTCAAACTAAAATATGGCATCAGTCAATGAAATTCACAGCAGTTAGTTTAAGCCGCGTAGGAAAGTGCAGACTTCCTGATTGGTTGGGATCCTCGGGACGGTAAAAACCAATGACAGCTGGAAACGATTGGTGGTATGGCTCCAAATCGTTCTCAATGGATGGCGAAGATGCATCCACTCCCTGTGGCTTATAATTTCCAATGAAACTGTTTTATTCTTCGTTATTACTCTTCCTTTGTCTCACACCTCTGTTTACTGTCTCTCTATTGTGCATTTCTTGTACTTTCTTCACTTGCTTTGTGTGCTACAAGGAGTGGAGTGTGGCGACTTGAACTTCCGCACATATGTGCAAAGTTCTAACTCGAAAACAGGTGTAAATTTGCTTATCTCTTGTTTCCTTGATTTGAGTTGAGCTCACCACATTGTTACTCCGTTTATTAGTTACTAATCGTCTTAATCATATTTTGTCTTATTACGCAACTCCTTCACCATTGAAAGCACACATTGATTTTTTGTTTAAACTTCAATTCTCCGAAGGGTAGAAGCTATATAACTGTAATTTCGTGAGCAGTTTTCATTAAATTTGAAGTCTCCTGTCATTAACTAACAGCCTTCGAAATTTGCAATTATGTTAAAATTGTTCTACACATAAACTTGATAATTTATTTAGGCTGTAAACAGCAGCTGATGAGAAACCAACGAAATAAGCAATGATGGCAGCACCATCTTAATCTGTAAAAACTGATGTTTTTTCTTTATTCAAATCCATCATAGCGCATTTAGCTCCCACTGAAGAGCTCGACATGTGATGCGTCTTGAAGGTCTCCACATACTATATCCAATTCATTCCTATTCCCTTCTGACTATTTGTTGTGTAATAGGGAGCTGGATGGTAGAGTTTCTTAATTCTTATCCTTTCTGGTTGATCATCCGATCTTCAGCATGGATACAGTGAAGGCATCTATCGATGAAAGTTTGCAGTAGGCTGTTGGAAATGCTTTTGATAAAGCGTGTGCCAAGTTTCTAAATCATATAGAAGGAATTACTGACTTGACAATAATCTTGAATATTCAAACCCCTTTGCCTTTGTGTTGAGTTCTGTAGAAGTTAGAATTAATTGGCTGGCCATTGAATGGGGTCCCAGTGGCTGAATGGTATACTAGCTAGCTTGACTTGTAACCGTAAGGTCCTGGGCTTGAACGCCGGCGGGTGCTTACTGATAAAGAGTCCCAAACTAGGCGAGACAGCTGTCTAGTACTCTAGTGCTGGTTATCACTGGTTTTCTAACTGATATCAATCCGTGATTAAACTCGTATAAATAAATCAAATTCTTACAAGCCAAGTTCTTGAAAATAAATATTTTCATTAGCACGTGTGTTTATGTGTACGGGGGGAATTATTTCATTTACAAAAACATCTCACAAAAATGAATCCATCATGAATGGTGAATTAGTAAAGTATGATTCATTCAACATCAAAATATTGTCTCTGTCTTTCTCTTCCTTAGAATTCAATATGTACTTAAGATTATCATGAGAAGCCTAATGTAAGCAACTTGGGTGTTTATGAAGTGAATGACTGTTACGCAACATTTGTGCACTCATTCATATGACAGCTGGGTATAACCCCGCATTTGACTGCAGCGAAATAAATAATCTGGATAGTAGCTGCATCTAAAAGCCCAGTTTGCAGGTCAAAGGAATTCCAAGGTTAGTTGGCTGGAATCCGGTGCCACAAACAGAGACTTGTTTTTTTATCCTATCTGAAATCATTCCACATTAAATCAATTATTCACAATAAACCTTTAGTTTGAATAAAGTAAGAGCAACAGACGTTTGTGCAGAATGAAATGCTGCCATCATTCATTGCATTGGCTTCTCATCATCTGCGTACAGCCTAAAGATGTTATCATGACGTTTTCTGTACAGAAACAATGTTGACATAATTACCCAGAGAGTTCAAGTTACAGCAAAATGATCAATATGTTCATAAAATAGCATTCTGTCTGTCTGTTTTCGGCATAGAACTCTGCACATATGTGCGGAAGTTCAAGTCGCCACACTCCACTCCTTGTAGCACACAAAGCAAGTGAAGAAAGTACAAGAAATGCACAATAGAGAGACAGTAAACAGAGGTGTGAGACAAAGGAAGAGTAATAACGAAGAATAAAACAGTTTCATTGGAAATTATAAGCCACAGGGAGTGGATGCATCTTCGCCATCCATTGAGAACGATTTGGAGCCATACCACCAATCGTTTCCAGCTGTCATTGGTTTTTACCGTCCCGAGGATCCCAACCAATCAGGAAGTCTGCACTTTCCTACGCGGCTTAAACTAACTGCTGTGAATTTCATTGACTGATGCCATATTTTAGTTTGACCACCACTGGCTATCTCTTTTCCAGCCTGACCCTATGCCAGTCAGCTAACATTGCCCATTGTCGAGGAAGGCGATGACTAGTCTAGGCATCCGTAACACATGTTCTCACCATCTCAGTCGATGTCATTTCACAGCCTCGTCGATTGATTCCCCCTCCTTACCTAGCACTCGATCAACGCCTAAACTTAATATTGCTCACCTTATTATACCACTTCACACGGGAGATAGAACGCATGCACCTATCATCAAAGACAGCTAGCCAGGCTTTTCATATCTTCCTCTCTCACTGGCGACTTCTCACAGCCATAAAGAAGGACGAAGCGGACTGATGAGCAGTACACCAACCTTTTGATCGATACCTGGATATCTCGTCTAGGCCAGAGATGGCGTAAACTGGCGTATGGGAAATTAGCCCTATGGCATTAATAATAATCACCTAATTACAAACAATAATAATAATACAGAATGAAATTTTCAGCGTCACAAAATCAAATCAATTTCAAAGGTGATAATACTGCAGGAATAGTCAACAGAAGGTTGAATATGTCAGGTATCTGCAAAAGCAGTTACTTTGAGGGAAACAAGAAGAGAGGTACGCCTCTGATTTTCTGAACATGTATCGAAGAATCTACATCTCAAGGGGATAAATACTTTCAACAGTGGTACTGCAAGGCATATCAAAGCAAGAATCGGAAAAGCAAGACAAGGTTTCATTACTCTCAGGTCTGTGCGGAGGTAAACAACACTCACCATCAAAAATAACATCCGGATTTTCAACTCCAATGTGAAGTCAGTGCTACTATACTGATCAGAGACTTGACGCGTCATAAAGAGCATCTCAAACAAACTTCAGACCTTCACTAACAGTTGTCTTCGCTCAATACCACTCAAGATCAGATGGCCAGAAAAGATCAACAACGGTATCTCTGGCAATGAGCGAACCAACTCAGCAGGAACCGCTTGTGAAACAAATAGGCAGGAAGAAATGGAGATGGATTGGCTGGCCATACTCTGAGGAAACCATCAAGTGATATCACACGCCAGGCCATCGCTCGAGTGGAGCCCAAAATGGAAGCGGCGAGTAGGTCGTCAGCGTGAGGGTGAGTTGGGGGAGATCATGTGAAGAGGAGATGAAAGCATGTGGGCAGACTTGAAACGGGGTGAAAATGTTGGCAGAAAACCGAAGGCAATGAAGACGCACGGCTGAAACCCTATATTCCTCTAGGAATTAAAGGAAAAACAATAATAATACTGCAAGGCATTTTTTTAATACGAGTCACGATGTGGACATTGTAAGATCCTTCGAAATTATCAATAGACAAAATAGCTCAGTTCTCTCTTCAAGTTCACCTAAGCAATCTCTATGAAACGCTTGAAACTTGATTTATGTGTTCAGAAAGAAAGTAGCAACTAACAGTCTTTCCTTAACACTCGGGT